GCACGTACGTCCAGCGCGCGGTGCCGACAATGCCGCGCTCGGTGTTGAAGCAGCCCACGAGTGGCGTGTCGCAACTATAGTACGCCGCATCGAAGGTCGACGTGTTGCAGTAGCCGGCACAGCCCAACGGCGAGTCGCGAATCGTGTGCAGAAAGTTGAACGTTTCGTCCGATTTCACAAGCGACTGACACTGCGACTCGCAGAGGTTGTTGCTGAGGTAGACGGGGCAGCGCGGGTCAACGCAGAGCGGCGTCATGACGGCGACGATGTACCACTGCGCGTACAGCATGACAAAGCCAAAGAGGAGCACGCAGCTGACAAGCGAAAAGATGAAGAACGAAATGTACTTGGGGTACCGGCGCCGGTTGTCGTAGACCTTGACATCCACGTAGTCGGGCGCGTCCCCTTCGTTGGCCACGTTGATGGTCTCGACGACAAAGTCCTTGAATTCGGGGTTGGGGTACTCGACCTCTTTGGCTTGGAGCAGGTCCCACTCGACGAGGAGCGAGTACTGGTAGCGCGTCCAGCGCTTGAGCACACTTGGCGCCCAGACGAGCGCGACGAGAAGGCCGTAGATGCCCATCGCCTGCATGTACGACGTGTAGTCAATGTGGCGCCAGAGCACCCAGAGGAGAACGCCGACGATGCACGGGGTGCTCAAGGACGCGCAGTAGAGGCGAATGAACGCCGTGTAAAACGCAATGCGTAGGCCAAAGTGGTCTTTCGTGCGCAATAAAAACAGCTGCCGCGTCGACGCCGAGAGGGCCTCCTTGTACCACGACGACGTGATAAAGTCCGACATGCTAGTAGTGTACTTTGTGAGCCACATGCGATAGTACGATAAGGGTGATAATGTGGTGACTACCTCGGGTCGTGGAGCGGGAAGACGTCGTGGATGATGGGGTCTTGGTTGTTTTCAATGCCGCGCAGACCCGCGCCCGGCGGCTTGTCGGTCGACGGGCGTGTCAAGATAGAGGCAAACGCAGAGAGCCGATCGGCGGCGGTGAGGGCCTCGGCGTTCGCCCCATACTCGTCCCCGAGCGATTTGGCCTACAACAATGGTTCAGGACGAGGCACGTATTGCTATGCGTACGTCTTCTTCCGAGTGGTACTCGATGATGCGCTCCATCTTCATGAGCTTGTCTTCGCGGGCGAGGAGCCATAGTGGCGCGCTCAGTAGCAAAATGATCTTGTCGGTCGAATTGCGCGAGTTGGCCATGACGGTCACGTGGATACCGGCTTGGAGAATGCTCGAGAGGATCGTCTCTTGCTGCTTGTATTCGGTATCAGTAATGTCTTCGGCGTTTTTGAGAATGAGCACAAATTCGTACTCGAGGCGCGGCTGCAAATTCAGCATGTGGATCACCAGCGTCGGCAGCCAGAGACATTCGAGCTCCGGCGACACTAGTCCCGTCACATCAGTATATGCGATCAAAGGAGCTGGCGGGCGTACCAGCCGTGATGCTCGTCTCGATGTTCTCTACGTCCTTGTCGATCGTGGGCGAAACGTCCATGCCAAAGGTTTCCTGGTACATGAGCATCTCGGGCTCAATCGCCATGTCCATGGAGCCTTCGCTCAGCACGCAGCGCGACGCCTTGCCCGATAAGATGATGTACAGGCCATCTACATGCACGAGTATAAGAGTCCATGGAAGCCCAATGACGGCGCCTTGGTCGTACCCGCCTTGTCCTCGCTGAGCAAGACCACGTCATCCCGTCGAAAGGTGCGAAGTTCCGTGAGGCGTGCGAGCTGCGAGAGTTCGCGGTCCGTGAGGCAAGCAAACTCTTCGACGCCACTAAGAAATTTCTTGGTCGAGAGGATTTTGGCGTCCGAATCGTCGGTCGCCGTCGCAGCGTCAACGTCTGAGCAGCAAAGAACGGACCGGACCCACTCGTAGACGTCGGCGCGTGAGAGGCCGCAGATGCGCCGATGCTGCCGCCGCTTCTGGGCCCGCGCAACGCGAATGGACTCTCCAATGTGCACGCGGATCTTGGCACGCATGTCGTCGAGCTCCGCATCGGTGACCGTCGCCTTCGTCGCTGCGAGCGCCGGTAGCCGCGCCTCGTCGGCCGCCTTGGGCTCGGCACTATCCGGCACCGGCATCACGACGCTACTTGCGTTCATGCTGCGAAACCCACGAGTCGACCGCCGCTTCGAGAGGATCTGAGATTACTCGTAACGACCGAGTCTAATTTCGGCTCGCACAATTTGGATCCAACTTCTGTGAAACGAACCCAATCAAATTCATTTACGTGAACACTCTGTGACAGAGACGCTTGAAGTCGTGGGTCCCTTCGACTAGATGGAACTCTTGGTTACACCAGCCCACAGGGGTTAATATGCTGAATATGCTGTCTGTGCCACCTGCAGTACTCGTACCCCGTATGGGATTGGAAAAATGAACTCGGCATCTGCGTCGGCATTGGCT